CGAACTAGATTCTTCGTCGACATCTGAATACATATCGTCATCGCCAGCATCAGCACGAATTCCAGCAAGAGTATGCTATTTTTCGGTAATGCATCCTTAACAAAAGTTTGCTCTCCTCGTGGGAACAACGAAGGGTACGTAAGAGCATCGATATAGCTATAATGCGATGCCAGTGTTTTTCCACCACGAGATTTAATCAGCAATCCCTCATTCAACTCTTCGTGTGATGGCATACGCTATAAAACTATACTATACTAAAAGCTATACGCTATAAAACCCACGTTTCGTCGAGAGAAACATGACTAATGAACGAAGTTTGGTCAATCTTGCTTCAGCGTCTGATTTTCTCATTTTCCTCTGAGGATGAAGACCTAGGGATCCTTCAGTGTCGTTTCGCTTATATACATCTTCTACTTCTCCATCCATCACATGATAATGAATATGATCCGCGATTACATCTCCATCCATCTTATGATCATCTATGATCCGCGATTACATCGACATACGTTACCCGGTGTGTGTCGCTCAAGTATCATCTTCTTGGTACACGCTGTGGAGGAATATTTTCCTGAGGAGGATCAAGGATTCACAGGTTACATCGACTTTTATCAAGAATGGAATGGCTGTACCTGTCTTGGAAGTTGCAGTGTGTGTAAATGAAAGAAGCATCGCATGTTTAAATGGCAATGAATGGTTGAATAATGAAGTTATATTAACTTTCATCAATATTGTTGCACATGGAACAATTTTCTCCTGCCTAGATCCGTGTCTGATTCAGACCTTGGAGTTTTACAGAATTTCATCCTATCCATTGGCGAGTGGTGAGTTTCTTTTTCCATTTAACATGAGGAACCGGACACGTTGGGCTCTTGTATGGCTCTTCATAAAACTATTGTCCTCTATAATTCACTGGCAGGTGATTACCATTACTCTGCTCGTTTGATGCGTGCTGAAGATAGAAACATATTGGAAAGCATCTGGCGCAAAGTCACGGGCAGGCAACTGGCAGCAGTTATAGTCTCTGGAGCTGCACACGTTCAACATGGTGGTTCAAATTGTAGTGTTTACGTATGCCTTTACGCGGAACGTCTGTGTATAGAAGAGTGCGCTGTTCAGGAAGATGCTACAGCGATGTTTTTGTCTGCTTATCGTCAATACATTAAACATAGGATAATGAGTAATGCGGAATTTTATCGAAGTAGCAACGGAATTAGACAAATTGTGCATACGGATGTCAACGCTAATGTGTGTTTCTGTCAGTCAAAAACTATTGTAGTTTCAGTATGGAAATGGAAAGCGTGCCTGAATGATGAAGCTATAGACGCTATCATCAATATCGTTGCACATGGAACAGTTTTCTTCTGCCTAGATCCGTGTCTGATTCAGACCTTGGAGTCTTACAGAATGTCATCCTATCCATTGGCGAGTGATGAGCTTCTTTTTCTATTTAACATAAGAAACCGGGCACATTGGGATCTTGCATGGCTCTTCATAAAATCAAGAGTTCAGGGCAATCAAGAGTTTTGAGAAGAACAATGAGTTTTCCCTTCGAAAAAGATGAGACTACCAACAGGATCAAAGAAACGACCAAAGCCAACTAAAGAAACGACTACATCCAATGTTCAACATGAAGCAAAAATGACCGACCAAC